TGCTCAGCAGGGAGCCTGCTTCTCCCCCCTCCCTTTCCCCCTCCCCCTACTCATGCACTCTCTCTCTTGCTCACTCTCACAAATAATCTTTAAAAAATTGAGTAAGAGGGACACCTGGGTGGCTCAGTCATTAAGCGTCTGCCTTCGGCTCAGGTCATGATCCCAGGGTCCTGGGATTGAGTCCCACATCGGGCTCCTTGCTCAGTGAGGAGCCTGCTTCTCCCTCTCCCTCTGCTGCTCCCCCTGCTTGTGCTCTCTCTCTCTGACAAATAAATAAAAATCTTTTAAAAAAATTGAGTAAGAGATTTTCATAGACATTTCTCCAAAGACAATATACAAATCACCAATAAGCTCAAGAAAAGTTGTTCAACATCATTAGTCATTTGGTAAATGCCAATCAAAACCACCATGAGATACTGCTCACACCCACTAGGATGACTATAACCCAAACAATGTAAACTACCAGCTGTTGAATAGGATGTAGAGAAACCAGACCCATCACACATTGCTGGTATGACTGTAAAATCGTACAGCTGCTTTGGAAAACACTTTGACAGTATTTTAAAAAGTTCAACATAGAGTTACCATATAGCCCAGCAATTACAGTCTTAGATATACACCCAAGAGCGCTGAAAACGTATGTTCACATAAAAACTTGCACGAGGGGCACCTGGGCAGTTCAGCTGGTTGAGCACCTGACTCTCGATTTTGGCTCAGGTCATGATCTCGGGGTTGTGGGATCGAGCCCTGAGTCGGGCTCCACACTCGGCGCAGAGTGTGCTTGAGATTCTCTCTCTCCCTCTCCCCATGTCTCTCCCCGCAACTCACACTCTCTAAATAAATAAATAAAATCTTATTAAAAAAAACCTTGCACAAGAATATTCATAGCACCATTATTTCATAGTAGTCTAAAAGTATAAACAACCAGGGCACCTGGCTGGCTCATTCGGTAGAGCATGCAACTCTTGATCTTGGGGTCATGGGTTCATGCCCCACGCTGGGTATGGAGATTAAAATACATAAAGGAATTAATGAATGAATAAATAAAAGGATAAACAACCTAAAAACCCATCAATTTATGAGTGGGTAAACAAAATTAGTACATCCATACAATGGAATACTATTCAGCCACAAAAAGGAATGAAGTATCAATACATGCTACAACATGGAAACCATTGAGCTTAAATGAAAGAAGCCACACACAAAAAGATAAATATGTGATTCTACTTTATGAGGTACCAGCAGTAGTGAAATTCTGAGATGAAAAGTAGAATGGTGGTTTCCAGGGGCTGAGGGGAGGAGAGAATGGAGAGTTACTGTTTAATGGGTATAGCTTCAATTTGGGAAGATGAAAAAATCTGAAGCATACTAAAAACTGTGGAGTTGAGTGCACAACAATGTGAACAAACTTAATGTCGCTGAACTATACTCTTAATGGTTAAAATGGTATTCCGGTATGTATATTTTACCACAATAAAAAAAAAAGGAATGAAGTACCAGTACATGCTACAACACAGATGAGCCTTGAAAGCATTATACTTAAGTGAGAGAAACCAGACACAAAGGGACACACATTGTAAGATTCCATTTATATGAATATGAGATGTCCAGAATAGGCTAATCTATAGAGAGAGGAAGCAGATTAGTCATTGCCAGGGGCTAGAGGGAAAGGAGGAATTAACTACTAAAAGCATAAAGTTTCTTTTGGGGGGTGACGGAAATGTTCTGGAATTAAATAGTGGTGAGAGCAAAGCACAACATGATGACTATGCTAAAACCACTGAATTATACATTTTAAAATTTTAAATTACATGTTTTAGGAATTTTCTTTCAAAAAAAGTTTGGACAGAAAGTCTTCCCCCAGAATGAGTAATCTAAGTGCAAGACAGAAACTATCCTTTTTATGACCGAGCTTCCCAAGTCACAAAGCATTTCTCCTGTCATATGCATCAGAAGTGAGTCCTAAGTTGTGAAGCCATAGCTGCCTGGGACTCCCCCCTCCAAAGGACCTCTTAATCATTTCTAGGGCTTGGTCGGTATGCTTGAATGTTTTTAAGCTCCCCAGGTGTTTCTGAGATGCATCCTATATATAGAACCACCCCCTCCGTGCCTGATAATTTTGTATTATTACTATGGGCAGCTGACTCCAGCTGGACGGTCAGTGCCCTGGGGGCAGGGCCCCCACCTCCAGCTCCCTCGCGACTGCCACTGTGACAGCATAATGTCTGCCTACACAAGGCAGGAGCTCAGGGGCTTTCATTGGACAGAAGGATTCAGAGCAACCGCCACCTAGAATGTCCTCTGCCAAGGAGTTCCAGGGGAGCTAAGGGGAGCACAGTTTGTGCCTGAGAGCTGGCCGCCCTGGCCACTCTCACCAGCGGGCAGGAAGGTCGCTGGGCCCACTTGGTGGGCAGCCCTTGCTGCCAACTGGGGCACCTCAGCTCAGCCTAGAACGGAGGTGTCAGGAAATAACACTCTCCTCAAGCTTCCTCTCCCAGTTCTCAAACGTAGAGACCCAGCCTAGGGCCTAGAATTCACTGAGACTTGGTGGCTGTCCAGCAGTCAGCATGGATCACCGAAGCCGACCTCGGGGCATAGGTCTGAGCCGAATCCCTGGGGCTCAGTCCCGAACCGCTCGGATCCCGCTCCCCTTCCATGTGGAACAGGAGGCCAGGGAAGGAGAAGAATGGGAACAACGAGAGCAACCTCGTCAGAGGACTCCTGTCTACACCCCCCCGGAAAGTGAAGAATTGTCAGACAATGTTATGGGTAAGAACAAGCTTACCCCCCGCCTCAGAAAAGAGAGGTAGCTTCATATTTTCCTTCTCTGCCCACAAGAAAGAGGTGTCAGGAAACAAAAACCAGAGCATAAAATGGGCAGAACTGGGGTGAGAGATGAGTCTGAAAGGGCAGGTTTCCTATTGCCTCAAAGGGCTGTCACAAGGACCAAGGATGTAATTTGTGAAAGCAACTGGAAGCGAAGACAGGCTGTTGGGAACATTGGGTGTCATTTAGAAAATCAAGTGCTTAGGATAGCAAACGCTCACAGAGTGCCAGGAGCCTTGGGAAACAAAGATGAATACACATCGATTTCAACCCCAGGGAGCTGTCTAGTAGAAGAAAGACAAACTGTTAGGATGGCTTCTGCAGAATTCAGAAAAATGACAAGAGCTCAGGGGAAGATTGAAAGGATGGGGGCGGGGCATAAGGGCTGCCAGTGGCCGCTGTCTTTCTGGTGTGTGTTGTATCTCTCCCCCCAGTTCTCACCTGCCATCCTAACAAATGGGTGAGTGAGGGGGTTAACTGCTGGGAGAAAGGGTTCTCAAGGAACTTACCAAGTGTTAATTTTTTTTAAATTATACACACCTTGAGACAGTCTTAAGTCACCAAACTGACTTTCCTGCTGGAAGAGTCCTTTCTCACTGGATGAGAATAAATGGTCTCCAGATACGGCTTTTCAGGTTAGACCTTTCTTCAAGTTTTCCCGGGACGTAAAAGGGATCCAACGGGAGGGGGAGTCATCGCTGTTGACCCGCTCACTGCAAGGAAAAGGAGAGTAAATGTTAAAGGTATAAAATGCAAGCCTTTCTAGGGCAGAACGGTTTGTTTCAGCTTTTGGCGGGGGGGGGGGGGGGGGGGGGGGGGCAGGCTGGCATGCAGAAGCGAGGCTTCCGGCAAGAGGTGGGCACCGAAGGGTGAGAGGATCTAAAACAGTGCTGAGTGCAAAAGACCAGTCACCAGCAAGGGCCGGAGGCCATCTCCAGCTAAGCTTTGTAGAAGAAATGGGCCTGCAAGGATGAGCAGCGTCTAAAACAATGCTGAGGGCGGACGAGACACGGTGGACGCCACAAATTGGTCTTCCTGGGGTTAGGAACCACCTGGCCGGGGTCTGGCCCCAGAGCACAGGCGCAAAGACCCGCGGGGTCGGGTTGGAGCTGGGGGCCTGAGGGAGTGAAAGAGGGGGTAGGGTGCCAGGGACCTTCAGCCCTATTGCCATCAAACTCTTCCAAGGTATACAATGGGCTGGACTGGGGTAAGGGTTGAGCTTGGAAAAAATAAGGTTTCCTATCTGCTTCAAAGGGTTGTCACAAGGAACAAAGATATATGTGAAAGCAACTGGAAGCTAAGACAGGCTGTTGGGAACATTAGGTGTCATTTAGAAAATCAAGTTCTTACGATAGCAAATGCTCACAGAATGTCAGGTGCCTTGGGAAACAAAGATGAATTACGCAACGATTTCAACCCCAGGGAGCTGACAGTCTAATGGAGGAAACAGGATGACTTTTGCGGGATTCAGAAAGAAGACAAGGGCCCACAGGAAGCTAGAAGGGATCCTGGGGAGCGTTAAGGGCTGCCGGACTCCTGTAATGTGATGCGGTAATTATCAGAAGATGGAACAACGCTGTGTTGGGAGAAAGTTTGGTTTTCTGGTAACTTATCAAGTTTTAAGTTAAAAAGAAAAACAAAAAACCTTTGAGACAGGCTTAAGTCACCAAACTGCCTGTTTGCTCTTGCCTGCTTGAGAAGAGTAAATGGCGAGACCTTTCTTCTCCAAGTTTTCCGGGGACTTAAAAGGGCTGTAGCTTGAGCAAGTAGTCCTGGCACTTTTCACAAACATCGCTTCAAGGAAAAACCGAGTAACTGTGAGAAGTACAAAATTTAAGCCATTCAAAGGCAGATAGGTTAGTCTCACTTTGGGGGTGGTGTGCGGTGGTGAGGCTTTGTCCAAGAGATAGGCGTGGAAGGATATCTAAAACTGCACAGAGGGTCGGCGCGCTCCAGGCCCCTCGCGCGAGGCCACTGGGCGGCTTCCGTCCACAAGAGTTCGGCTCAACTCCCCGGCCCTGGCCAGCCCAGGGCGCAGGCGCAAACTCCGGCTCGGGGCGCGCAGGCGGGGCTGGAGCCCACGTGGCGGGGGGAGAGGGAGTGGGTGGAGCAGCGAACAAGGTGGGGGCCGGGGCGGGGTGGGGGCGGAGCAGGTCTCGCGAGGCCGCGCCCCGGCTCACGCGGGCTCCGGGCGCGCGGCTGTAGCTCAGTGACGGCGGGAGAAGTCGCGCTCGCGCCAAGGGACGTGTGTTTGCGCTCGCGTGGTCATGGAGGCGCCGCTGCAGCCGCCAGCCGCAACGACTCCAGCCTGTGGCCGGAGCCGAAGGCTGCTGCTGCTGCCGCTGCTGCTCTTCTTGCTGCCAGCCGGAGCTCTGCGAGGCTGGGAGGCAGAAGAGAGGCCCCGAACCCGCGAAGAGGAATGCCACTTCTACGCGGGTGGACAAGTGTACCCAGGGGAGGCGTCCCGGGTTTCGGTCGCCGACCACTCCCTGCACCTCAGCAAAGCCAAGAGTAGGTGGTGCCCCGCCAAGAGGGGGGTGGGGGGTAGCAGAGGGAGGCGGGAGGTGGAGAGGGCCGGAGACACGTGCACCCTGGTAGTACCTGGGGGCCTGGCTTGGGCGGCACCCTCTGGGCGGCCTTAGGTCCCTGGGCGGGCCTGCCTGGGGGGCGGGGTAGGGGGATGGAGAGGGGTTCCAGCTGTGAAGAAAGGGATGGGTTCCACGAATCAGATTTTGGAAAAAGTAGTGGTTACCCCAAAGCCGCAGATGAGGGAAAGAGGGTGGCCCCGGCCCCGAGTTTGTAGGCATCAGGATGTTGTGCAAACTGAAGCACTTCCTCAAACATTAAAAAGTACCTGCAGCACATCGCGTCTATTTTCAAGTACTATTTCAGGGAAGAATACATTGAAAAGTTGAATAATGGTTCACAGAAAGTTGAATTAAACAGAAAAGTGGCTAACCAAAATGTTCAGGGGGGCAAACCTTTCGTTTTCCTTTCTTTTTTTTTTTTTTTTTTGTTACTGCATCTTATAAAGACTATTAAAAGCCACCTTCCCCAAAACCTGTATAGTTAGTGGGTATTCTTTGTGTTTCTCAAAAAATGAAGAACTTCTTACAGGCTGTACTTGGGAGGCTCCTTGTAAGAAAATGGAGGGGGGGGGGAGTGGTTGGAAGTAATGCATTTGGGTTGATGATAAACCTTGTGGCAAATTTGTGTCCTGCCAATTTGGCTTTCTGTTATTTGCATTTCTGTCCAGTGTACACAGCTAATGGCCACTTTCAGGAAGGACACGTCAGACTAGATACTGAGAAACTGGCCTGCTGCATCTGGATGTTAAGATTGGCCAAAAAGAAGTGGCCAGGGGCTAAAGGATAAAGATTATCTCTTGCTTGCTTTTAAATAATCAGCTTTTCCTACGATTATTTGGCATTCTGTGGATACATATTCGGTTCAGTTATAGCATGTTCCCTGCCTGTATTCAGTAACAAAAGTAATGCTTCACAATTACGAATCCTCAGTGTTAAACGGGATGTTGTTATAACTTAGGATGGAGTGGGAGCCATAAATGAGAAAAACTGTTTTGCCTCCTTACACATTTGCAGTTCTTTCCTACTGAAAGTAACTGGAAGTTACTTTTAGATTTTTGTTTTTAAAGAGCCAGTCTTGCACTTTTAAAATCATAGTATTTCCAAGTCCCGTTGCTTTTACTTGGCTTGGGAAGATATTTTGAAATATGGCAGCCTGTTAAGTATTTACTGGCATCACATAAATTTCCCATAAGAAACAAATCCCATCCAAGTCTGCTCATGGAAGCAAAAAAATAGTAATATTAGATTTGCCTTTACCCGCAAACCTTTTCAGAGTTTAGATATCTGCTACATTTCTGAGTCACATGTAGGCTTATCTAGAATTAAAGATAGGACTTTTATTCATAAAATGGAATATTATAGAACCATTAAATTTTTAATAAATTTTAGTAACATGAAAAACTGTTAATGATTTACTCTTCCCCCCTTTTTCAATTTTAATTCCAGTGTAGTTAACATAAAGTGTTATATTAGTTTCAGGTGTACAATACAGTGATTTAACAGTTCCATATATTACTCAGTTCTCATTACTGTTCCCTTTTTAAAAATGGGTGCAACATGATCCAAATTTATGTGTTTAAAAAAAAATGGAAAGACATCAAAATGTTAACAGTAGTTAAATTGATGGGGGGGCAGATATGGGAAGAAGGGATTTAAACATTCTTCTTTACTGCTCTGCATTTGCCAGAATCTTTGTTAATGCTGCTATTTATATTTGGGACAGTTGTTATTTTGTAACAGTTGCAGGGGGTTGCTTTGGGAATTCCATTTATAGATCTTAATAAAGTAATTGCAGTCTTTTTGCCTTAAAAATTGATGAGTTTTTTTTTCTTTGAACAACACTTACAGTATTTGCAGATGACATGATACTATATATAGAAAACCCTAAAGACTCCATTAAAAAAACTATTAGAACACTGCAGTTCTTAAGTCAAAAACTCCAAATTTCCAAAATCACAATTTTCAGAAAAAAAATTATTTTTCGGATTTGGTTTTCCCTACATGCTAAAATCATTAAGGAGTGTCATTTTAACAGATCATTACAATTATAACCTCACACTTGAGTAGCATTTTCAGTAATGTATATAAAGCATATACAGTTAAGTTCCCTTCTGTCCAATTCTCCCTCATGGCCTTTACCTAACTAGATCAGGATATTTATATGAGGTAGCCTGCTGGCTCAAGGTAAATAATCATGTGTTATATATTAGCTTCACAGAGAAATTCATCTTAAGTTTGTCTTCATTTTCAGAGTGATCAAAAATGCTGGCTATTGTAAGCCTTACTTTCTAGGAACCTTAGTCAAACTTGGAATCAAGTATTGATTTCAATGTATGTGATGATTCTGAAAGTTTACGTGCCATGTGAATGTGTTAACAGAAGATCAAGGTACATTATTAGGAAAGCGTGTTGGCTAGAATTACAGCATGCCCTTATAAGAGAGCAGCATGAACTATTCAATTACCATCAGGTCACTTGAAACCTGTTCGGAGCCCTCTGGGAAAATAATCCCATGGTCTGGGATTTTAAACTTCTCACCTGACATTTGCAGATTTCCTACTCCTTGAGTGTGGCAGCAGGTCTTCTGTGTGAATGTGAGAAGCGGGACAAACATTTAAAAAATGAGTACATCTAGAAGACTGCCATTAGAAAAAGGAAAATCTAATTATTTGAACTGTAGGAAGTTGATTAACTTGGGGGGGCTATAATGAAGTATCCAGTAATTAGTGCAGGGATGGAATGTAGGGGGTCTGTGAGCATGCATAGAAAAACAAAGTCTTTATTTTCACTAACCTACAACTGAAATTTAGAATTTCGTTCCATTATGAACATCAGCAACAAATCACACTAGCTTCAGCAGTACTTGCTTGTACCTGTTGCCAAGAGAATCACAAATATTTTTATGCCACATAATTGCAGGTATCCTGCAACAAAATTTAAACTCATCACTGTCTTGGACAGTTATTAGACCACTTCTAGATCTTGCAGTTTAAAGATTTTATTTATTTATTTATTTATTTATTTAAGCGGGGGGAGGGGATCGCACGCGCTCAAGTCCTTGCCCACAGAGCCAAGGGAGGGTCAGAGGGAGAGGGACAAGCTGACTCTGTGCTGAGGGCGCTGCATGAGTGGAGTGGGGGTGGGGGGGCGATCATGACCTGAGCCAAAATCAATAGTCAACAGTCGGCTGCTCAACTCAGCAACCCAGGTGCCCCATAGATCTTGCGGTCTTAAAGTGTTAATAAAAGGGTATATGTATTACTATATCACCAGTTTGTTTTCTATTATTTTGATAATTACATTTCAATATACTTGGCTTCCTTTGTAAATCCATATATTTTGTTTTATGCATTCAATAACACTATCCATAGAAAAAGTCCATAAGCTTCACCAGACTGCTAGAGATCCAAAGGTTTAGAATCCTTAATTTTTAGTGATTTCCTAAAGATGTCTTTCTGTCATCCCACCAATTTTCTCAGTGTTGTAAAACATCATGTATTTCTCTTTCTTAGTTTCCAAGCCAGCACCTTATTGGGAAGGAACAGCTGTGATAAATGGAGAATTCAAGGAGCTCAAGTTGACCGATTATCGTGGGAAATACTTGGTTTTTTTCTTCTACCCACTTGATTTGTAAGTAATACATGTACAGGTCCTAAAACAGTCAGTCATTATCAATCATTATTCAAGAACATCAAGTACAAATTATTTTATTTAGCTCTTGGTTCTTAAAAGGCAAGCGGAGATGAACTTTTTCAAGAAGGTAACATCTACCATGTTCAGAACCAAAACCCATTGACCCCAATACTTTATCCTTAAATCTACATGATTGTGTTATAATCATCAAAGAAAGGAAAGCTACAATTATATTAAGCTATACCTACTAAGGCAAGAAAATGGATATTTGCAAAAGCATTTAATAGCAAGACTTACACCACAAATCTGTTTAATGTATCTCTCTTAACTAGAAAATTAACCCTTTACAATGATGATGCCACTTAACTATGGTTTTATCATTTTTATTCTCTGCTGCATCTATTGCTTTCCTGTGGTTTGAACATTTTCCTGAAAATACTGCATATGCTTAAGAAATAATGCCTATTAATATAAATTATGCTTATTAGGGGGAATTTTCTCTTTAACTCTGATGGTGAGCACTTTAGATAAAAAGTTGACTCAAATAAATACTCCTGCAGCTTCATTCTTATCGAGGATATAGTTTTATCTGGAGTGTTTTTCAAATTCCATGAAAGTGAAAAGGTAACAAAAAGAGACTTAACCTGACTTTTATCTTTTTTCTGTTTGAATATGTTTTTTGGTTATAAAAAAGAGAACTTCTATTTTGCCACTGTATATTAAGGTCTTTTTTCCATTAGGACTAACCTAGAACTGTGTAAATAAAACCTTAAACTTGCAGGGAGGATATACTTAAGCTCATCTCTATAGATTGTCTCTAGGCCAGAGGTCAGCAAATTTTTCTGTACAGGGCCACATAGTAAATATTTTTTGCCTTGTAATCTCTATTGCAACTACTCAACTTTGCCATCATAGCACAAAAACAGCCATAGACTATACACAAATGAATGAATATTGTTTTCTATTGAAAGTTTATTTACAAAAAATAAGGTAGGCTGGATTTGGCCTGTGGACTGAAGTTTGCTGACCCCTATTCTAATCCAAATAGGAAAAATTCTCAGAAAAATTAGTTCACTGAGACTAAACCAAGTCATAAATGTGGATAATACATAATCTTTTAAATTAGTACGAACTTCCTTCTTTCTAATCAACTTGTACTGTGGCCTGACTAGCTAAAATGTATGATATAACTTATTTTCTAATAAAAACCAGAAGTACAAATTTTAATATATAAAAATGATAGGCCTTCTAAATTCATGTTATAAAACCAAAAAGTTAACACATCTGTTAAATAAATAGGACGCTAAACGTGAGTTTTGAAATTAGTCTAATATAGCAGACAAGTATCCTGTTTATCCCAGTGTTACTTAAAACTCCTTAATGAATAAGACATATCTAAAGCATGATGTCACCAGTGGCCTCCTAGGGCAAGAAGCTAAGATCGCTTCTTTCTGTTTCCATGTGATGCCAGATTAGGCCTGGTTAGAAAGGAAGAATTCTGAGACATTTGCCACAGTCTGCAAGTATGAAAGTCAAAAAAATAACCCTTTAGTTTTTTGCCAGAACTTTTTCTCTGTCTTCACTAAGAAGTTGGATAAATGTATTTCTAGGTAGCATTTGTTGGAATAATAGGAAGGCAGGCAGGGGCTGACCATTCCTACCTTTGGGAAAATATTAAAAATACATATCATAGCCCAGGTTTCCAGAGATATAATCTAGATTAGAACTGTCTGCCTGCATGTGGCAGTCCTACATTTGAACAGCCGAAACCTCTGAAAAGCCTGTTTTGGGCTGCAGTAGGAATTTGTCCCCTCACTCTGTGTTCTTCTGACTTTCTTGACCATGACCTGAACACAGTACAAAATCCATTTTTCATTGCCACCCAATACATTTACATATACATACAGGGTAACATTCAGTCTATAAGCACCAGTACAGCCGTGCTGATTAAAATCCTGAAACACTTCCATACCAAATGGTAAATAGCCACTTTCCCAACCTCCTCCCCAAGTTGCCCCTCCCATCTGGTCCCTTTCAGAAACCTCCAGAGCTAAAGCCAACTTTCAGTTAAGGTTGTTCAATATTTTTAGTATCACTCCTGAACACACACACACACACACAGATGTATGTGTATGTACATATGTTTCATGACTTACCCTTCCTGTATATAAAGTATTCTCGTATTTTCTATTCCACTTGTTTAAAATGTTAGTTAGAACTCCATAAACTGGCTTAAGGAGTCCCTACCATGGTTCAGAAAATACTACCCTAAAGTAATATTCTCTAAACATGCCTTTCTGACAAGAGGACTGGGAGACAAGGTAGAAGAGAACCTTATCAAGAAAGGGAGGGGGATGGAAGAGCATTCTCTCATCTCTGAAATAAAGATCAGTGCATCTAGCTCATAGGAGTGGTATAGGAATATTTAAAAAAAGTGGAATGATGGAAAATTTGTATAGATCCTTTGAAAGCTGTAAAGCACTATATAAATATAAAGCATTGTTAAATAAAAGCTAATGAAATAGGACGAGGTGCTGCCGTAACGGAGAAGAGAACATTGGTTGACCACGGATCCATTAAGTTATAAAAATAACATTTATTGAGATGTAATTGGGAACTCTGTAATATACATTTTTTAATTAAATGATATTTGATCAAATAATCTTCTAGACAGCTTCATTGTGACAATGTTCATATATAAAATTGTTCTTAATATGCATTTTTATATACTAAAGGTGTTTGTAAAAACTAAGTCATTTGAAACTTTAAGTATATGCATATTTTGAGAATACTGAAATTTTTTTTTAACTTTCAGCACTTTCGTGTGTCCAACTGAAATCATTGCCTTTGGTGATAGGATTGAAGAATTCAGATCTATAAACACTGAAGTGGTAGCATGCTCTGTTGATTCACAGTTTACCCACTTGGCCTGGTCAGTATCTTACACTTAGTTTTGTAGGGGGGGAAAATGGATTTACTTTTCAGTTATAGGCAGACAGCTCTCATTGTGATAGGAATATAGGGGTGTTTTTTTTTTTAATTTTATTTTAATTATGCTTTACACCCATGGGGCTTGAACTCATGACCCTGAGATTAAGACTTACATGCTCTACCAACTGAGCCAGCCTGGCACCCTGGAATATAGTTATCAAACAGTTTGGGAATAGATATATCTGAGAGCTACCAGTTCAATGAAGTTATGGTAAAAATGCTTAAGGATTTTGTAGGACATTTCCAAATTGGGAAAAAAGCTCAGTGCAAAAGACATAATATCCATAGCAAACACAACTGAGTTGTATGATTATTTTATTATGATAAATTGGGTAGCCTTAATCTGGAGGGAAAAAATTCTTTAAAATTCCATTTCTCTGTTACATAGTTGTCTAGTATTAAGTCAAACTCAAAATACCTTTTGTGGGGTTTTTTTTGGTTTTTTTTTTTTTAAGATTTTATTTATTTATTTGAGAGAGAGAGAATGAGAGACAGAGAGCATGAGAGGGAGGAGGGTCAGAGGGAGAAGCAGACTCCCTGCCGAGCAGGGAGCCTGATGCGGGACTCGATCCTGGGACTCCAGGATCATGACCTGAGCCGAAGGCAGTCGCTTAACCAACTGAGCCACCCAGGCGCCCTCAAAATACCTTTTGTAATTATTTTTCAAGAGGCTTTGATTTTCTTAATTTTTAAATGTTTTTTTAACTCATTAAACGTGAAAAGATGTTTCACCTGATTAATTGCCAAGAACTGCAAATTAAAATGACAAGGGATGCCATTTTTTCCCCTGTCTGATTGGCTAAGATTTCAAATATTGAAAAATTTCATCCAGTGATGACAAAAGTGTGAAGAAATGGTCCTCTCACACATACAGTTGGTTGAGCATTTCTGGAGAGCAGTTAGGCAGTATGTCTCAGAATCTGAAATGTATGTGTTGATGTAAATTTTTCATGTCCAAAATTCTGTGCGCAAGATTCTATGCACAATAAAGATGGTTCAGAATTATCTTAGTTTTAGAAGTTAATATTCATTTCATTAAAGTAAATTCAAAACAACTTTTTATCCATTTACAATTATATAGAGACATATATATATAACTAAAATTTTACTGGTGAGGAGCTACAATTTATATTCTCTTAAGTAATTAATTCTTTCAAGTATTTTTAAATGCAGTTATATACTTATTTGATTTGCTTTGTGTCTCAATTTTCAGATAAAACTTCCAAGAACTTAAGTAATTCTTGCAAATCTAATAGACAAATATGGCATGCCTAAAGTTCTTTAAAAAATGTTTCACGGGATCGAGTCCCGCATCGGGCTCCCTGCTCAGCAAGGAGCCTGCTTCTCCCTCTGACCCTCCCCCCTCTCATGCTCTCTCTATCTCAGTCTCTCTCTCAAATAAATAAATAAAATCTTAAAAAAAAAATTGTTTCATTACTATTTATAAACTGAATAAAATTTCACATTATATATTTTAAATTGGAATCACAAAGTGAAAACGATGGGTTTAATTTGTGTCGTCACTTCTATAGTAATCCTAAATCTTTGTAGGATTACAACATAAATCCACTAAGGAAAAAGTTATATCCTCCCAAATAATTTGGGATTGGCTTCTCAAGGAATTTGCGGGGGATGCATTCTGAACTGGATAGGTTTCATATCAACCAGAGATTTCTACTTGGATGTCAGAACTGGGGCTGCAGACATCTGGAGCAGTATTTCCCTGTTTGCTAGCTGCTTGGTCAGTACCCTCCCACTGGGACACCCAGATTCCCTGGTTTCAAGTAAAAGAATGCTTAAATCTGACTGATGTGTCTGAGATTATAACTAACTTCCTTCCCTGTTTCAAATGGACTTTGCATTCCTTTGTCTCAGAATATTAAAATATCCAGTTGTATTCTGTCTCTCAAGGCTTTGTCTTGTGATCACAATTCTAAGGTTATGGTTATGACAGTGCATATCCTTTGATCCATCAGTTCCTCTTCTAGGAATTAATCAAATAAGTGTGCAAAGTTGAGAATACATAGATGTTTCCAGCAGTGTTGATAAAAGCAAAAGAAAAATGGAAATAGTTTAAATGTCTAGCAATAGAGATTGGTAAAATACAGTATGTCAATACTTTAAAAATGTGATATGTATCTCCATATTTATTGTTTAAAGGAAATGAATATATTAGGTCCGGAGTAAAGGCAAAAAATAGAATGTGTATTAGCCTGTTTTTGTTAGAGAGAGAATGTGTGTGTTGTGTGTTCATTCATATGTGTGTAATGGAGACAAACAGTGCTGTTTGGATACATTTACTTCGCTCTGAGTGGTAAATGTTTTGTTTGTTACAGGATTAATACCCCTCGCAGACAAGGAGGACTTGGGCCAATAAGGATTCCACTTCTTTCAGATCTGACCCATCAAATCTCGAAGGACTATGGCGTATATCTGGAGGACTCAGGCCATACCCTTAGGTACCTTTCAGTGGTTTTATATTTTGACAAATCCAAATATATTTGTAATCCTCCCTGAAATGGAGTTAGAAGATACAAGGTTTGATCAAGAAGAATTATTTTCTCTATTTGCAAAAATGTTGTAGATACTGTTTAAAATAATTGGTAAGTGCCCTACTTAAATTATGTATCATAGTCTGTTAAAGCTTGAGGATTATTTAGAGGTCTTTGACCAACCCTGTCATTTTACAGATAAACAGATTCATAGAATTCCATGAATTTAGCCAAAGTTATATAATCAGTTAATGGTAGAGCCCACACTTGAACCCAGGTACCCAGACTCCTTGCCTATTTCTTTCTCCTCTTTTCTAAAATCACTCCAGTAATGGTTTTTCTAAATGCAAGTATCCTAGTATTTAGCAAACTTGTGCCTTAGGGAGTGGGACAAATTAAGGAAGTGCTACTAGAAATCTTTGGTAAAAGGACAACTTTAGCTTAAAAGAGTTGTAATTTTATTATAATTATATTGTTAATTTGCTTTACTGTGCTAGTAGTTTTTTTAAATGTTTTATGTGAAGGTGCCAGTATTTTATAATCCTATGTTTTTTAATAACAGCTTTATTGAGATATAATTCACATACAACTCACCCATTTAAAGCATACAACTCAGTGGTTTCTAGTATAGCCAGAGAATTGTGCAACCATCACCACAATCAATTTTAGAACATTTTCATTACTCTAAAAAGAAACCCCATACCCATTAGCAGTTACTCTCCCTTTCCCCCAATCCCCCTCCCCTGGCCCTGGACAACCACTTACCTACTTTATGTCTCTCTGGTTGCCTATTCTGGACATTTCATGTAAATGGAATCCTACAATATATACTTTTTTATGACGAGCCTCTTTCACTTAGCATATGTTTTCAAGGTTCATTCGTATTGTATCATGTGTCACTACCAATAGTTTCTTTTTTTGTACTTGCCAAGTCTTTAATGTTTTCTCCTTTCATAGAGTTTATGACTAAGTTAATTCCCAAAAAGTAAATATGCCACTATAAAGACTGAAGCTATTAAGCTATTTTAAAATTTGGGATTATTTGAACATTAACCAAGTAAAACCAAGTAACCCCAAGATCATGACCTGAGCTGAAATTAAGAGTTAGTTGCTTAACCGACTGAGCCACCCAGGCACCCAAGGCATATTTGTTTTTGTGTGCTGTGTGTTGGTATGATGTATGTTACCAAAGTAAGTTCAAAATTTCACATCAGACTCACTTACTTCAGAACAAACTTCATCACCAATGACAACCGTTTTCTACTGTAGAAGTAGCTACATGAAAGAACACCCATATGAATGATCGTTAAAAGTTTTACCCGAGTTTGGCCAAGTTGACCTAGTCAAAGGAGAGTGAGCTCTAGTTGGTTCAGACATCATGGTGCTCATTAAAAATATATATTGTGGGGCGCCTGGGTGGCTCAGTCGTTAAGCGTCTGCCTTCGGCTCAGGTCATGATCCCAGGGTCCTGGGATCGAGCCCCACGTCGGGCTCCCTGCTCCGCAGAGAGCCTGCTTCTCCCTCTCCCACTCCCTCTGCTTGTGTTCCCCCTCTCACGGTGTCTCTCTCGGTCAAAATAAATAAATAAAATCTTTAAAAATATATATATAGAGAGAGAGAGTAAGATAAGCAGGAACATTTTAGTAATGTTTAATATGATTATAAAACAAAATTTCAGGGGCGCCTGGGTGGCTCAGTTGGTTAAGCGACTGCCTTCGGCTCAGGTCATGATCCTGGAGTCCCAGGATCAAGTCCCGCATCAGGCTCCCTGCTCGGCAGGGAGTCTGCTTCTCCCTCTCCCGCTCCCCCCGTCTTGTGCTCTCTCTCTCTCATTCTCTCTCTCAAATAAATAAATAAAATCTTTAAAAAAAATTTCACATAATAAAGTAATTCCATGTATTTCTATTAAAAATAAATCTCATTATTATGTATAATACTTGTATGCAAGCAGTTAGCCCTAGTATGAGATCTTTTTCTAAACCAAATATTGGGTTGAAATCCATATTGACTGAAATAAAGACAGTAAAGTCCTTTTGAAATTTTTTTTTCCTCTGGTCTGCTTTAACTCTTGCAATGCCACTCCATCTCAACAGCAGGTCTTATAGGTGAAACTACTCCATTATTCCCTAGGCCAAAAAAGTGAATCACACATACACAGATTTAGAGGGAAAGGTAACTTCGCTTGTATTGGGACTTTGTCTTTTCCACCTCTGAAAAAGGAAATACAAAGGTGTTCTAAACAGCCAGTGATAAGAAAGATGGATCACTCTTTCACCCAGAGGAAGACTTTGCTATGTAGATTCATTGTTTCATTAACAGTGCAATAAAATCCCAAACCTAGTACTCGTGAAGATTTAAATGGAAGTACAACAGTACATTGCATAGAAAAAAACAAATTTTTAAAGCTATCATTTGACAATGATAATCCCAAATCATACAGCAGTTAAGCTTGCGTATGGGGACAGGGGTGTATTTGCACGTGTGTGTATGTGTGTGTGTGTGTGTGTGTGTACACCAGTCAAGCAGGTAGGTAGTGTGTTGTTGGTTGTGTAGAACATCCTTCCATGTGGACAGCACAGGGATCAGATTAACTAATGTTTGTCTTAATTGAGTTGAAATGACCTCACCTGTACCACTCTTGTGTTTTACAGGGGTCTCTTCATTATTGATGACAAAGGAGTCCTAAGGCAGATTACTCTGAATGACCTTCCTGTCGGTAGGTCAGTGGATGAGACACTGCGTTTGGTTCAAGCATTCCAGTACACTGACAAACATGGAGAAGGTACCCTTACAAGCATCTTAGCCTTTTGATTTTTTCATTTGAGAGATGATAGCATGATTAATTTCGTTTCTTAGTCAAAAAGTAATTTGGATGGTTCCAAAGTCCTCTGATTATTTTCAAATTATTACCTGATCTTCTTAGCAGATCCAGTTGTTACTTAAAGTGCTTTTAACAAAATATCACTAATATATCCTACTTACAGAATAAGATGCAAAAATATTCATTATTTGCACAGTCCACAGAGAAAAGTTTCTGCTACTGTAATTTTTCAAATTATGTTTCTGTAAACTTAAAACGTGCCAGTCAGGCAATATTTAGTCATGCAGGTTTTATTTGCATGTGTACATTATTTGACTTAGCTTTTTTCCTCACAGCTGTTCGGTATCACACTAGTAATCTATCAGTTCATCCTTTTACTCCCAAGTTTTTGCAGTAGCTAAATGGACAAGGTCAGATTTTGCTAAAACAGAACATACGTTATATATTCCTTTCAAAAGTGTAACTCAGTGCCTGAGTAAGGGTGCATTCTAAATAAAGGGGAAATGCCACTTTCCTAGTAATTTTAAACTCTTATTTGACAAACAGCAAACTGTGGCATCAGTACACAGTACTGCAGAAAACAGAAGATAAGCTAATACTGGAAAACAGAAGATAAGCTAATACTGGAAAACAGAAGATAAGCTAATATTGGAAGTTTATGTAAATTCAGAGAAGTTTTTGCCATGCCCCGACCTGTCAATTCACCAGATTCCCAAACCTTCCAACTTTATTAGGGGAACACTCAACTTGGTTTCTTATACTGTAATTGTAACTAGACATAATTGTCAAAAATGGACATAGATTAGCTGCCTGCTCATAAACTCCGTGACTGGAATTCTTGGTGCAAGCGGGCAAGGAAACAGTAGTCAGGTGTTTGGTGGCCTAGAAATGTTCTCATTGTTATAGGCTCTTTTCAGTTTCATTTTGGAAAAAGAAAAACCAAGAGTTGCTGAAGACAACTGAAATCTGTTTTTAAACTGTCGTTTTGCCCATTTTTGTTCTTTTCAGTCTGTCCTGCTGGTTGGAAACCTGGTAGTGAAACAGTAAGTCAAACTGATTTTTTTAAATGCCAACCTTAGAATAATCTTTCTTTGTAATAGAACTATCTCGATTTTGTAAATGAAGTAAACATTACTAGACAGAAATCATAAGAGTACAGGCATTCTTTGGACCGTAGAGAGAGTAGCTGAAACTGGAGAAAGCAGAATATGAGACTTAATGCTGTGAATTTTAAAGCCAAGTATCCAGAGAAATATACCATCAAAAAAAAAAAAAAAATCCAAAGGGAACAGTAGAGATCTGATAGAATAAAGTCAGAGGTCTTAGGGATCATGTATGGCATTTCTTCCTATATTGTAGGCCAAGAAAATAGTCACAAGCAAGACCTTTCTGTATATAGTAAACTTTTAAGAAAATCTGGCTTAATTAACATTGAAGCTAATGATTCTGTCCTTATCAGTTGAAGGAAGATTGAAACAGGTATATCTTTTCATTTAGGGAGGCTGTATAATTTATAGGCAATTCCTGAAGTAGTCTCTGGCCAAAATACAATTTGGAAACTCGCTTGAACCTTTTTTATTTTATTTATTTTTTTTTAAATATTTTATTTATTTTTATTTGACACAGAGAGAGAGATAGTGAGAGAGAGAGAACAAGCAGGGGGAGCGGCAGGCAGAGGCAGAGGGAGAAGCAGGCTGCCTGCTGAGCAAGGAGCCCGATGCGGGGCTCGATTCCAGGACCCTGGGATCATGACCTGAGCCAAAGGCAGCCGCTTAACCGACTGAGCCACCCAGGCGTCCCTTGAACCTTTTTTAAATAACATGTTTATCTTCTAAAAATCAACACTTCTATACAAACTGTAGTTAGGAAATTGACAAATACGGGTGCCTGGGTGGCTCAGTTGGTTAAGCAACTGCCTTCGGCTCAGGTCATGATCCTGGAGTCCCGGGATCGAGTCCCACATCAGGCTCCCTGCTCAGCAGGGAGTCTGCTTCTCCCTCTGACCCTCCTCCCTCTCATGCTGTCTCTCATTCTCTCTCTCACAAATAAATAAAAAAAATTTTTTTTTAAATTATAAAAAAAAAGAAATTGACAAATACTAGAGCATCAGAGGAAGAAATCATTATCTTAGGATAAAAGAAAAATACAGATTCCTAAGACTTTCGTCTTTAGCAAATCAACAAAAAGTACCATTAATCATAGACAATGAGAGGTAGAAAGTCACTCTGTAACCTAACTCAGATTGGGGATTGGGTAAAGTAACATTTCACTGATTTTGAACCAGTTTTTGATGAGTTTGCAAAACAGCTTTGCCTTTGTGGGTCAAAGTTAAGGTTACAGTACAAATTTATTTACCTTTACATACATCTGATGGATCTCCAAGATAAACATGAAGGTAGGCATTAAAGGTACTTTGAGCACTAGGTACTTTAAATCATACATGAGGCATTAGGTTAGCTTATAATTATTGACTGTGAGGCTTCCAGATAGAAATAGGAATCAGAAGCTGCAGAGGCATCGCCTGAGAAGCCTTAGAAGGCATTTCTGGGGCGCCTGGATGGTTCAGTTGGTTAAGCGACTGCCTTCGGCTCAGGTCATGATCCTGGAGTCCCTGGATCGAGTCCCGCATCGGGCTCCCTGCTTGGTGGGGAGTCTGCTTCTCCCTCTGACCCTCCCCCTCTCATGCTCTCTCTCTCTCTCAAATAAATAAATAAAATCTTTAAAAAAAAAAAAAGGCATTTCTGGATGGGTCTTCAAGGTAGGGGCCATGTTCTGCAGGAGCTGTAGCAAAACCAACAGTGAGTGATGAATAACCTCACCATCTATCACATGCTTGTATTGATAGATCAGCAAGAGCTTGCAAGAGGTACAAATTAACTACAAAGGGTATTAGAGGATGAGTGTTTTACATTTCAGAAAACATGTTGACTATCCATTTGACTAACTTTTGGAGGGGCCACAAACCCCTTTGAGAATCTGACAAAAACCATGAATTCTCCCACCAAAAACATTCACATATGTAATCACATACTGTGGCTTTACTGAGGTATAAATAGATAAACAGAATTGTAGATATTTAAACTATACAATGTGACAATTTGACATATGTATACATTGTGAAATGATCACAATCTGATTAACAAATCCATCACCTCATATGGTTACATTCTTTTGTGTGTGTTGAGAACACTTAAGATCTACTCTTTTAGCAAATTTCAAGTACACAAAACAGTACTGTTAACTATAGTCACTATGCTGTACTCATCCTCAGAACTCACTCATCTTAAAAGTAAAGGCTTGCACCCTTTGACTGGCATCTCCCCATTTCCCCCACCCCCAGTCCCTGACAACCACAGTTCTTCTCTGTTTCTATGGGCCTTCTTTCAACAGACATTTCTTGACCACCTGCTATATGGCAACTATTCAAACTATTACAATAGGCAGATGGTACTTATTAGTGAATACCACAGGCCAAGGTCCCTACCCTCGGGGTTACATTCTAATTCTAATTTTAGATTGTGGCAAATGCTTTTAGAAACAGGTTGATGAGAGTTGGTGGGATAGTGCCTGGGGTGAGGGATTAAGTGGTCAGGAAAGACTTCTAAGATGACATTTCAGTTGAAATGTGAGTGAAGAGAGGGGGCAAGTCAAGCATAGAGCAGTGCAGAAAGAAAAGCAAGGGCAAGGCCCTGAGGCCAGGAACCAGCTTAGCATGTTCAAGAAACGTCAAGAGGGCCTGTGTGGCAGGAATAGAGTGAGCTGTGAGGAAGGGACTAGGGACACCAGTGTCATGTGGCATGGAGAATGGGAATACAGCGAAGTAGCGGAAATGTGAAGTCTCTGGTGACTGTTGTGAGGGCAGCAGCTAGTTTGGAAGAGTTTGAAAATAGATCTGCCTCACTTCTCTCCTGTATATTGCACAGGCCTCCTGATTTGTTGCCCTGACCTCAGCTTGTCTCCTGTCTAGCGCATGTCACTCTCTCTCCAAACCAGGACCTTTTAGCAGCCCTCCAGTACCCACACAACAAAATCCAGATACCTGGCACAGCTTTCAAGCCTTTGCACTGTTTGTGTCTACCACCCTCTCCCAGGTCATCTTCCCTACAACGCACGCATGCACACACACTGTGTTCCCACCAAGTCCCATGACTCACTTTTCCCCAAAATAAGCCCTGCTTTTTCACACCTTTGTGCCTTTGCTTGGGTCTTTAGCCTGGAATATCTTCCCCCTTCCCTAAATTCTACTCATCTTTCAAGACTAACTTAAATGCCACCTCCACTTTGAGGCCTTCCTTGATGCCATCTCAGCCTCCATTCAGGCACAGCCTGCGTCATACGTGATCATCTTGTGCATTGCGTCGAAAACTTGTGTACGCACACATCTTCCCCACATGCTTGGACAAGTCTCAAAGACAGGGACTTGAGTGTAGTTATCCTCGTACCCCTCACTGCCCAGCACACTGTTGGCACACAATACCATATTATTCCATAAGTATTTGCAAATTGAATTTCAGTGCAGAGAGATTATAAATTGGCAAAGACATAATACTTCTTGAAGTGATACCTGAAAAATTATGTAATATTTATTATAGGCTGATGAAAAATTCGAAGAAAATGCATATAGAATTATTGTAAACTGATTACAATGGGTTACTTTTTATATATAGGGGCAGATGTACTTTACCTATAACTATCAAATAATATAGTTAATATGAGGTCAAATCATATAGGAAATGTCAAAAAAATATAATAGGGTTCGAAGGCTGTGATCCTGTTAAGGAGGGAGCATTTTTTTTCTTTCAGAATGTTTGTTCATTCACTAAATAGTTCATACTACCTCATATATTTGAGTATTTTTTTACTTTGCAGTTTGAGATTAAAAGGTTGCATTCTGGACCTCCAAAAAATCCATTTAATGGATAAAGAAGATGTAGTATATATACAGTGGACTACTACTCAGCCATAAAACGAATTAAATCTTACCATCTGTGGCAACATGGATAGACCCAGAGGGTATCATGCTAAGTGAGATAACTCGGAGAAAGACAAATACCATATGATTATATATATATCTCCTTAAAAAAAAGACAAAACAGAAACAGAGTCATAGATACAGAGAACTGATGGTTGCCAAAGAGGATGGGGGTAAGGGGATAGACAAAATACATGAAGGGATTTAAGAAGTACAGTCTTCCAGTTATAAAATGAACTAAGTCATGGGGGTGAAAAGTACAGCACAGGGAATATAGTCAATAATATTGTAACAACTCTATATGGTGACAGATGCTGACTGGACTTATTGTGGTGACATTTCATAATGTATATAAATACTGAATCACTATCATATACACATGAAACTAACACAATATTGTATGTGAATTATTTTTAAATAAATAAATAAAAATTTAAAAATCCATTTGAACACACTGCCGCCTTTCAGGTTATTGTGGCATACCAACATTTCATCAGCAGATAACTTTAAAAATACATTAACATCTGTAGCCATGCTCTCTTAATGTGTTTGACTTAATTAGATCAAACCTGAAGATGTCATGAAAGCCTGGTGGCCAAGAGAAGAGCTGTAAGTAAATTTTGGGATGCTTGAATACAGATGTTAATTTATTAACAAATTTGCCTTTTGGGATAAGTGAGATTAGTAGGTAGGACAAATCCAGTTTTCCTATATATAATTTGGGACACAAAAATCATCTTTATCTTCTTCAGTCAAGAGATGAGCAACTGATATCAGACTACTACCGATGTACCTTGGCTTTTAAAATAAATAATTTGCAAACATCAATTTGAAGAGATATGTGCACCCCTATGTTCAGTGCAGCATTATTGTAGCCAAGATATGAAAACAACCCAAGTGTCCATCAAGAAATGAATGGATAAAGAAAATGTGGTGTATATGCACGATGCAGTATTACTCGGCTTAAAAATGAATGGTCTCTTTCCATTTGCAACAACATGGATGGTCCTAGTGGGTACTACGCTAAGTGAAATAAGTCAGAGAGGGACAAATACTATATGATTTTACTTATATGTGGACTCTAAAAAACAAAACAAATGAACTAACAAAACCAAACAGTATTAAATATAAAAAACAAACTGGTGGTTGCCAGAGGGGAGGTGGGTTGGGAAAGGGCAAAACAGATGAAGGGGATGAAGAGATACAAACTTCCAGTTATCCAATTACAGAGATGAAAAGTATGACATAAGGAATATAGTCAATATTGTAATAACTTTGTATGATGACAGATGAGAATTAGACCTGTTATGGGAATCATTTCATAATGTATAAAAATATCAAATCACTATGATGTATACCTAAAACTAATAAAATATTGTATGTCAATTATACTTTAATAAAAATTAACATTTTTTAAAAATGAATAATTTGTTTTTTTAACAGATAATTCCAGATCCAGCTGGAAAACTGAAGTATTTCGATAAACTCAACTAAAAAATACTTCCTCAGGTTTCAGTGCTTGAAAGTTCTCAATAAAGTTCACCATTTTAGTACCATATTGTGTTACAGTGGTAATTTTTTGAAGAATATAGAACTCCCTAAGGTATTTAGTGTTCAAGTTAAATACTGATGCCAAAAGATAAGCAGTTACTCTCTATCTTTCCAAAGTAAGAAATGTCAGATTGAATCAAACCAGTAACAAGAGTAACTAATATTTGTATAATACATGTCATGTGCCAAGCATTGTGTTAGGTAGATTAGGTGCAGTATTTCATTTAACCCTCAAAGCAAGTCTTTGAGTTCTTTATTTTTTTTTTTAAAGATTTATCTATTTATTAGAGAGCACACGTGGAGTGGGGGGGTGGATAGTCTCGAGCAGACTCCATGCTGAGCGTGGAGCCTGATGCGGGCTCCATCCCATGACCCCAAGATCACAACCTGAGCTGAAACCAAGAGTCAGATGTTTTACTGACTGAGCCACCCAGGCTCCCCAGGCTGTATCTTCTTGATTAATAATTTCCATTCCATTCCATTAATAGTTTTCTAGCCTTTGGTTCAATTTAGGTATGTTTACAAGGAAGACAGTTACGTTCAGGTCTGGTCCAAAAAGCCAGTCATTAATGTTTCATTCAGTATTTATTCAGCGACTTTTGATCATCTACTCTAAATACCTGGCATTTATCAAGTAACCAAAGATATGTTTCTGCCTTCAAGGAGCTTAGTTTTTGATTACTGAGGCAGGTGCTGATAGTGTAGTAATGGGGGGGGGTACCTAAAAAATACATCCTAAGTCACCCCTTTCATATTAACTGGATAATGTAAATAGCCTATGAATAAAATGGCATTAAATGCACTCCTTCTCAATGCCTTTTATAAACTGTCCCTTTAAACAGTTTACTTCTGAAAGTCCATAGATCCAAAATTATATCCTAAAGATGATCTCATGTGGCCATTTACAGAAGACAGGAAAAGCAGTGTTCAGAAAGGAGAGTCCTGTGTCCTACTGGAGAGGGTGGGCCCTGGGCCTGACTGGGGTCAGCTGCAGAAGACCTATTCCCAGAACACGCTGACCTACCATAATCTAGAGCAGGACTTCTCAACTGGGGACAATTTGCCCCCAGGGGACATGGTAATGTGTACAGATATTTTTGGTTGTCATAACTGTGGGAGTGCTACTGGTGTCTACATTGCACAGGACAGCCCGCACAACAAAGACTTCCCTGGCCCAAGAAGTCCGTCGTGGTAAGGTTCAGAGACCCTTCTCTAGAGACCGCTCCCAAGGACTTAACAGAAAGAAGGCCAGGGTGGCTTAGCAGCTGCTCGCACCGCAGAACAGACTGTGCCCCCACAGCAGCAGCTTCTCCAAAGTAATACATCAAGAGGTAACTTCAAGCTTCTACGAAGTACACCAGGCAATGTCTTTCAGGGCACTGGTACATAGATGACATCTATAATTCCCTGCGTCTCCCTCTTCTGCTGAACACTTCCCAGCTAAGCCTTACCGGTGTTCGGAACTTTACAATGATAGTGGCAGACTGCTCTGCCAGGGATTTCAGTCTCCAGAATCTCATGCAAGGACTCCTTCCCCACCCCCATCATTTCTTCTCTGTCCCAGGACATCTCTAATCCTACATCCTAAACTTTCCATCTGTCAGTAAACTTCCAGGTTGTATATTTTATTGTCAAATACATTAACCACTATTTTATTATTTAATGATATTTTGTACCCTAACCCCCCTATCTGATATCATGGAATGGCATCCTTGTATTTTGTTACCCATGAACTTGCAGACAACATGATGTCAATGAAATGTCTTTGATAGAGTCACTAATATATGAACGTGATGAAATGTGTATTTGAGGTAAATAGCTCTACAAGGTCTCCATGTCAGGGAAGATATATGTATATATACATACATACATATGCAGACATACACATACACACACACTCCTGTAATTAAATTTGTAACTAGCTTTTAAAAGGAAAGAAAATGTTTATCATAGTTACTATATATTTAGCCTTAGATAGCAAAGCAACTTTTACCAATTCCATTATTAACATAATAACACAATTTTGGCATAATGATATACACTTACATAAAATCCTAAAAATATATTTTTAAAGATCCACCTTCCTAAGGCTTAAGCTTATAATTTTTTAAATTAAAATCTAAAGCCAAGTCAAAACCCAAATTTACGGGGCATCTGGTTGGCTCAGTCGTTAAGCATCTGCCTTCGGCTCAGGTCATGATCCCGGGGTCCTGGGATCAAGCCCCGCATCGGGCTGCCTGCTCCGCGGGAAGCCTGCTTCTCCCTCTCCCTCTGCCCCTCCACCTGCTTGTGTTCCCTCTCTCACTGTCTCTCTCTCTGTCAAATAAATAAATAAGATCTTTTTAAAAAACCCAAATTTACCTAAATCATGCATTTGTTCATACAGAAAACATGACCTACACATGTGCAAGGTACTGTGCTGGCGATGTGGATAAGAACACATGAAATAATCCCATCAAGAAGCCCACAGTCTCCCAAATGAAAGCATACGAAAAGAGCAGCACAATGTAATACATGCTAAAAAACACCAACACTGGTGGTAGCACTAAGGGGAGCGTGAGCAACTACAAGGAAAGACAGGGATCAGGGAAGGTGTCCCATAGGCAGGGAGTTCGCATTTCCTACTCCTCCACTGAAGGCCACACCACCTACAAGTGTACTGTCCTTAAAAAAAAAAAAAACAGTATTTGTGACCCAAACTCAAGAGACAAAGCACTAACTGGTTTTCCTCTCTCATGCTAATGTACTGGGAGATAGCATGTACTTTAGACTTGATTGGTTAGGGTTAGAGGTGTGTGGCCAAGGTTACATGGAAGTAAAAATTGAATCTCATGGACTTCAAGCTCTGGCCATTTGTACAGCTCCGTCAGGACATCACAAACTGGGTTTTGTTTTCTATTAAAGGTAGTAGGCTGCACTGTAACAGCTCCGTCAGGACATCACAAACTGGTTATAAGTTTTCTATTAAAGGTAGTAGGCTGCACTGTAACCCATAGCCTACAAGATGGCACGAGGCAAACCGAAATGACGTAGTAACTTGCTGTGTCCTAGAACCCTGTAAGGCTAAACGGAAAAAGCAATGACTTTCAAATGGTTTTTTGTTATTGTTGTTTTGGGTTTTTTACAACTCTAATTTAAAAACAAAACTTGAGCACTGGGTGTTATGCGCAACTGATGAATCCTTGGACACTACATCTGAAACTAATGATTAGCCAACTATGTTGGCTAATGGAATTTAAATTAAAACAAAAATTCTGACCAATTCAACCTAAGTACAGCTCAAGTAGGCATCTTAATGTGTACTAAGTGTACTCCTTCCATCAATTACCATGACCCAATGAGTACATTTCACAGTGTGACCCAGTACATCCATGAATGTATGCCCCATGAACACGCAGAAGAAGTTTCATGTGATACTTACCATTACTTGGCATGATGCATTCTGATCTTTTATTTTTGTAATGTTGGTCACAATCCACTAAATGTCATGACCCACAGTTTAAAAATTAAATAAATAAATAAATACACAGTTTTCTTATAAATATATATGATATAGATATAGGCACATACAAAATCAGGATAAAATAAATGCCTGGTATATCAATACCTTGTCACATGTAACTTTCATTTTACTTCCATTAGGGTTTTTTGTTCATTTGTTTTAGTCTTACTATTCCTTCTATTAAAGGTGTACAATTTCTGTGACACAAACCAAAATATCCTACCCTTTTTTTTTTGGTTACTCTAATCCTTTCTCTAAGGTATTAATTTCTCAATGCCTCTGGATTACTGAATGGTTTTCAGAAGGGCCTGTTTTATTCTGAGGCTCCATATTTTTTTAGCATACGCATCTTAAATAGAACTTGATTTTTAAGATGATATGCAATATATTCATTAAAATAGTTCACTAACCGAAAAGCTGAATCATGTGACACAATAGAGGCCTAAATCAGGGGACCGTGGAATGAGGAGAGCACCCCTCCTTTTACAGAGTAGGAAATAGAACTCAAAGACGTGAATCCCCTAGCCCGCTCCCAGAAAAAACCAGTTGCAGACCTATAGGCAAGAGCTCACGGGAACGGACATTCAGGCCAACACTGCTTTACCCACATCACATCACACTGCCTTCCGAAACCCATGCAATGGATGTAGGGACCCCCAAATGCCCCTCGGATTGATCCCCTTGGATCAAAATAATTTTATGACAACAGTTTCATCTGGAAGCAATGTGATGAGTCAAGGCCCTTAAATCCATTTTGAACTTGCTAAATCCTTATTTTTAATTCCTCTTTCCTGTTACCTATTTTACAGTAATTCATTATTTATTGCCGGTGGGGGGGGATTCACAAGTCCATTTAGAGAATCAATCACAAATGTAGTAAAAATTTATAAGGGAATTAAATGCCAAAAATATTTCAGCAATCCTCATCTCTCATGGCTGGAGACCTAACTGTATCCTGAGATTATATATTTATATATATGTTATTATATGTTATATATAATACAGATACATAAATATAGAATCAGTACTTAAACCTTTATCGTAACAGCTGTATGAAATGTGTAAAAGGGCAGGACTCTAGACCAGTTACAGGAGGGCTTTGGGAAGTCACTTTCATCTGCAGAATGTGGGTAACAATGACAGTGACCTCAAAAGGTGACTGTAGGGATTCATGGAGAAACTACACTTGAATGTCCTTAGTACAGTGCCTAACCCATAGCAGGACTCCAATGCTAGCCATATATAAAAATTATTATTTTATGATGATTACATCTTATCACCAATTTTTTGCAGCACTTTGCCAACATACAAGTTGCCATGGGGTTCTGTAACCAAATAAAGAATGCCTAATTACTCCCAAATGTTTTCATGTTAAGCATAAAACCTTGAATTTGAGCTTGAGACTCTGGCCCAGAAACAGAAATTGGTAACAAACTTGGATTGTTGGTATTAAAATGGAGGCAAATGTAAACTAACCTTCACCGTCCCCCTCTGGCACTTCCT